CCCCCGTGTTGTACCTCTTAGTTGAACGAACACCAATTCCCCGCTTTCCTTTCCCCTTTAAGTGTGTTTTTCTCTCGCACACACAGGTCTTTTATAGGCTAAGGTGGGTGCCCTTCTCCTCCCCTCACCCCAGGATTGGCTGCTGGCTCCCCGCTTTGGGGTAATTGGCAAGTTATCTACCAAATGGGGTTTACATACCAAAACTTAATAGGCAAGCCTCTTCCCTCAGACCTTCCCAAAGAACCCATGGGAGCTGAAATTTGCGATTTTAATTATACGATAACAGGGGTCAATGTGCACAGTCAGTAAGGGGCTCTTCACCATCTGTTCCAACTGGGAACAGTCCCTCGCTGTAACTGGGTTCCTACTCTCTGCTCCCCAGCCACGCCCTTTAGTCTTCATCCTACCAAGGAGACAAACCGGTGGGCAGGGCTGTACCGGGCTCAGTGGCTCCTGCCCTACCTGTCAGGGAGAGAAGCTGGGGGCTCCCCTCCCAGGCGCTGCAGCTCTGGAGGGTGAGATGACCATGAGTGACCACGGCATGGTGGAGGTGCCACATTGCTGGCCTGTTCAGCATGAGCCTGGCTGTGCTCCAGGCGAGGCATGAGTAGGTGGTACCCAAGCCAGATAATATATAATTTATTAAATAGTGCCCTGAAAGCAGACGGCAGAGGGTTGTACAAGTACTTGTCTTTACTGAATTCGTATCACATCATTGTAAAGTCGAAAAATCCTAAGTCGAATCGTTGTATTGTTTTGTTGGTCTCGTTCCCCGGCATATACTCAGAACCACTAGTGGGGCTTAGTAGGTGGTAGTGATTCCCCAATTTGCTTAAGGTTTTAATCTGTCAGTGGGCTAAAGGGAGAACACTAGATCCTGTTCTCAGTGCGTCTGGCTGTGTTCACTCATTTAGGCCTCAGTGTTCGGCAAAAGTGAAATATTAGATCACCTGATTGCCCAACATTGCAAGGAAACAAAGTCAAAGGCTCATCTCCTGCTTCCTCCCAGCCCCACACTCTGCTTCCGAGGCCTCTGTCTTGATGCCATGAGAATCTAGGACTCTTCCCAGTGGAAAGACAAAGGCAGGAAGGGAAGAGTAAGCAGAGGCTGTAAAATCGAGTCAGGTGTGGAGAATGTGCACAGGACTCGCTCAGCAAACCCCAGTCTCCAGAATTAAGGGACCCACTGGAAGTTTGAAGCAGGGAATTTAGGAGAATAAAAGGCCATCCTGTTCCTCCCAGCAGGGAGGGAGCATATGGCTCTCATTACCTGGAGAGGCTCAGAATAAAAATACACTCAGGAGTGAGAGAGGCGAATTCAGGTACCAGAGAGCTCAAACTAACTCGCTGGTGAAGGGAGAGCTGGGGGGCGATGTGGGGAGGGTGGGCAGAGAGCGTGCACGGGCTCTGGTGCCCATCCAGCTTGAATTAAGATCTTGGCACCTGCTCCCTGTGACCTCAGTCATCTACTTCCTCTCTGTACCTTAGTTTTCTCAGCTATACAATGGGGATAATGATATTATTGTTGTCATGTAATAACACATATTATCGCATGTTTCATATAATGTCATCGTGTTAAAATAGAGTAGTAGCAAGGATTCACTTAGAGAGGGCGAAATTCTCAGCATAATGCCTCTCGTTGTAAATCTCTATAAATACTAGCACCCCCCCCCCTTCATGGCTACAGTCCCACAAGGCAGGTGTTAATAGCACCCATTTAGCGGATGGAGAAACCAAAGCTCCAAGAAGCTAAAAGATCTTGTCTAACATTGGATGCTGGTCAGATGCAGAGCCCAAGACTAGAACTCAGGGCTCTTAAGCCCCCATCAGGCTGCTTCTGCTGTCCTCATCCGTGCAGTGCACAAGCCCTAAGCACCTACCACAGGGCAGGCTTGCCTTCAAGGAGCTCACAGCTTGGGAAGGAGGATGAATAAGTTAAAATGGAACATGACGTGGAGAGGCATGGGCCCCCAGACAGACACACCCCTGGGCGCCTGGAGATGAATTCTCTCTACAGTGGGCGGAGCAGTCAGGGTAGCCTGCCTGGTGGTGGCCACACCCCAAAGTAGAGCTTATGGAGGAGTTTTATGCATCTCTGTATCTAGAACAGCCTTCCAAGCGGAGTTGGTAGCCCAGACAAAGTCAGGGAAGCAGACACCAAATCCTGGGCATCTCTGTCTCCGTCCCCAAGGCTGAGCCCCAGGCATGGCACGCAGACGGCTTAAATCTGATACTTGAGCTGAAAGTGGGTGGCCCATAGTCCTGGCCCCAGGCCCAGCAGAAACCTCAGTGACTGGCCCTTGCATGGCCTCACCTGAGCAGAGTCACATAGGCCAAAGGGAAGCCAACAGGGTCCTCCCTCTTCCTGTGCCTGGCTTTTCAAAAACACAGTTACCTGCCCTTCAGAGATGCCGTCAGTGTTGGTAAACTCCGGCCGCTAAACTGCATTACACTGATCTCTCCAGAAACCTTTGCAGTTATTAATAGTTTATTGATCGCGGCCCTTTGCTGATGAGAGTGGGCCCCTCGCCCTCACCCCCCTCGGGTCCCTACTATCTGCGGAAGGCCTTCTATCCAGCAGGCAGATCAATGCCACTCAAATCTGGGGAAAGACAGTCTCTGCGCCGCTTAATCCACTTTAGAAAGACAACAGCGAAGGCAAAATCTCCGATGAGGCGCCAAGAAGAGGCGGGTGGGTCCAAGTGAAAGCTACAGCCTGGCAGCTGAGGCTCTGCGGATGACAGCCCGAGATTGCCGGGGGCAGGGGGGTGGTGCCATACAGTGTGGTGACAACAGGGGAAACCGGAGGAGGGCTACACAGGGGTCTCTGTTGTCTTTGTGACTTTTCTGTAAGTCTAAACTTACTCAAAATAAAATTTATAGTTTTAAAAAAAGGAATGTGGCGCATGGGAAGTTGGGAACTTGGGAAGAATGGTAAAAACACCCTGGTGGCTGGAGGCAGGGGAAGGGGTGCAGGAGAAGGGAGGGCAAGAGACACAGCTGAAGACAACGATGCAGGATTCGTGTCTGTTTCTTAAGAGCAGAGAGAAGCCTTTGAAGGGACTCGGGTAGCGGGGTACCATTCATCTCACGCATTTGAAAGATCTGGATGGTGAGAGTGGATCCCGGAGAGACATCAGCAGAGGCAGAAAGTGAACCCTCTGCCTCTTTGCTTCCACATTCCAGGAGAGAAGAGGTGCTGGGGGTGGGAGAGTGCGAGGTTCAGGATCTATAGAGGAGGTTGAGCACCCAGGACGTGGTCACTGACGGCAACAGGAGGTATCAAGGACGGTGCCCAAGAGTGTTCCGTGGGTTAACGGTGCAGGATTGGGCCATGCCTGCAGCTGGACGACCCAGTAAAGGGACGTCTGGGGTAGAAACAGTCCTCTCTGAGAAGCTGCGTGTTCTATAAGGCACCAATCCAGGTGTCCCCCAAGCTGCCTTCTATACCATGTGTGAGGTGTCACCTCCACATGTCACCCGAGCATATTGCTTATGTTACTGTCACCTGAGTGTGTCCTCAGTGTAGCAATTGCCTAAACACAGCAGCTGTGTTGCTCTCCCATAAACGCATCACCTAGGTGGTGGTTACCTGCACGCATATCCAGCTGGGTGTCAACCAGGTCATGATTTTCTTACTACATCACCTGGGGAGCTACACATGTCCCCTGAGTCTATTTCTTTGTGGCGCTGTCACCTGAGCATGCCACCCACACCCCTGTCGGCGACGAAAGTCGCTTAAGCAGGTTGCCTGTGTAACCGACACCTGTAAGTGTCACCAAGTTCAAATTCTTCTCCTACTGTTTGTTAGTCCCGGGACCATGGGTAAGTCATGCTGTCTCTCACTGAGTCTCCATTTTCTTATCTAAAAAATGTCACCCTAGGTGACTGTCACTCAGAAAGGATGCCTAGTAAAGTTTGGTTTTCTTTCCCAGTCTGAATTACAAAGACAACCGTTCGCAGAGGTGAGAGCTGTTCCCACTGTCACCGTGCTCTTTCTTCTGAGCTCAGTGTGTAGAGCGAGGTGGCATCTTCTTTTTTTTTTTTTTTTTTGAGACAGAGCCTCAAGCTGTCCCCCTGGGCAGAGTGCCGTGGCATTACAGCTCACAGCAACCTCCAACTCCAGGGCTCAAGCGAGTCTCCTGCCTCCGCCTCCCAAGTAGCTGGGACCACAGGCGCCCGCCACAACGCCCGGCTATTTTTTGGTTGCAGCCGTCATTGTTGTTTGGCGGGTCCGGGCTGGGGATTCGAACCCGCCACTTTAGGTGTACGTGGCTGGCGCCTTAGCCGGTTGAGCTATAGGCGCCGAGCCGAGGCGGCATCTTCTTAACAAAGTTCCCCTGATACGAAGCCCCCCTTCCATGGTAGACCAGACGCGAACCTCTGTGTGTTCACAGAGGCTGTTGACCACTCCAGGCTCAGATAAGTCCACACCTTGCCTAGTGACCGTGGAGCACAGATCAGCTTCCTGCCTCCTTGTCCTTCGGGGTGGGGGCTCCTTGGGGACAGGGATTTTATTGTATTTCTTTTCAACATCCTCAGGACTGGGCAGAGAGTGGCAGTGCAGCGGTGTAGAGAGAGGAATTCAAAATCTCATCTTGGTTCTTATTACCCCTATGGGGTGGGGGCCAATTGTGTCCCCGTCTCAAATTCCCTGGCTGTGAAATGGGACTGTGGATCCCTACATGGCATGGCGATGATAAACAAGTCCCAGGTAACATCCTAGGTGAGAGTTTTGAGCTGCTACCATGTACCAGTGACATGCTAAGTGACCCCTTCACCCGGGTCATCCTCGTGGTGCGCTGGGAGGGGCATCGTCCTGAGACCACAGAAGCCAATAAGGTAAAGAAGGGCTCCAGGGCCCAGCAGGTGCAGATTGGAATTCCAGCTGAACACGGTGCATGGAGCTGTCAACATCCTCCTTCTCTGCCTCCTTCTCCTCCTCCTCTCAGCCCAGCCACACAGGCAAGCAGCCTCATCCTGTCCTCTGCCTCCCCCAGGCTGCCTGAGGTCCGGATCTCCGACAACGGTCCCTACGAGTGCCACGTGGGCATCTACGACCGCGCCACCCGGGAGAAGGTGGTCCTGGCATCGGGCAACATCTTCCTCAACGTCATGGGTGAGTGCAGGGCCCCTGGCCTTTGGCATCTCAGTGAGGAGGGTGAGTGTCTGTGTGTGTGTGTGTGTGTGTGTGTGCACCGTACACATGCATGCGTACACAGAGAGGCCATCCCGGGGAACCACCCACCGAAATTTCTGTTGTGCTGGTATCTTCTCTTTTCTGCCCTTGTGCCGGAAGGGGCTAGGCATGGGACACAAACCTAGCAGGTCATTCACAGGCCCTCTGGCTCCAGGCTCTGCCACTGGGTAAGGGCATAGGGAGCGAGCACTAGGCACTGAGCCAGCAGCTGTGGGCACACCTTTCCCAGGGCACATCCATGAGCCCTGTCAGCAGAAACACACCATGGAGGAAGGCACATGTAGGGTGGGGACAGCCCAGGAGCCTCCCTGGGGAGCATGAAACAGCATCTCCGCCCACTACACACCTGCCACTGAGAGAATGATTCTGGCCCTCATTCAGAGACCCCCTCCATGAGCCTCCCAAGGCTTTTGTGCAGATGTGGAAAAATCAGGAGATTCCCTAGAGAGCACTATGGGCTGGGTCTTAGGGCTCCTGGATTCTGACTTTCTCTCTGTCCCTCTGTTTATGCATCTGTAAAATGCGCATGACTGTCTCTAGCTGGGCTGGGTCCTTGGGCAACCCAGTTGCCAGCCTCAGTTTCCCCATTTGTAACACTAGGGCATTGCTCTGAATGGTCTCTGCAGCCCCTGCCTGCTCTGTCGTTCTTGTCAGTTATACCCTCGGATTCCAGCTCTGCCTCCAGGATGCTGGGGACATGGCCTCAACTCTGGGCTCCGTGTTCTCTGATTTTCTAATCAAATAATATTTATCCGGAAAACAAAGCTTGCTGGACTTGGGCAATCAATGAAAACATAAAGGCCCCATTGAAAGCCGCTACTTTTGGAGAAATTGAAAACATCCAAAGGCCAGACCTCCAGAGGGACATCGATCCTACAGTGGGAGCCAGTGGTGCATCCTGGCTTCCTGGTGAAACTGTGATGCAGGAAGTGGCATTGCAGGAAAAGCCCTCCTACCACGTTTGCTCCCTCCCTGGTCCACTCCTGATGTATGAATTAGGAGCCATCTCTGTCCCCACCCCTGGGATGGCCATACCAGGGAACTCCATAGGGCTCCGTGAGCTCTGCAGGAAGCTGAGGCTTCCAGGGGGGCTCAGGGAAGTAACCCCCACCTTCCAAAGCTGACCGCTAGAAATTCAGGGCAGGATTGTCCCTGGCACAGCACCCACGCATCACAGCCCATCCTCTGGCTGTCCCAGTGCTCAGAGCTCCCTGTGTTTGTCACTGGTCCCTCCTGGCATGGGCCCAACAGTGCGGATTATCTTTTAGAATCCTCACAGCCCTGTGAACCAGGAGATGTTATGACCCCTGTTGCATGAGGTGACCCAGGCTCGGGGATGGGAAGTGACTTGTCAGGTTGTACCAGCCATCTGAGTCCAAAGCCTGTGATGGAGACCACCCGTGCTCAGTCTAGACCCTGCATCAAAACTGCCTGGAAGGCTGTAAGTGCAGACAGCTGGTGCCGCCCCCAGTGCTTCTGATTCAGCAGGTCTGGGGCAGGGATGGAGAATCCGCCCTCTGCACAGTCTCCAGGTGATATAGTTGGGCTGGGGCTACATGTTAAGAAGCACTGGTCTAAATTTCTACTATACATATCTGTATCTACACATTGCTATGTGTGTCTGTCTGTGTATTTACATGTGTGTTTATATTCTTATCCACATACAAATGTATTTTTCCTTTCTCCTTTGAATTCTCACTCCATCTTACCATGGACCCAGGAGGAGGCTCCCCCCTCCCCCATTTAGTGTACAGTTTAAGGACATACTGGCTTGGGTCCAAACCACAGATCTATGGGACCTTAGATCTATTAGTCTCTCTGGGCCTCAGTTTTCCCATCTGCAAAATAGGAATAAGGATGCCGTCTGCCTATGGTGGTTGTCAGGTTTGCCATAGATGAGGTTTCTAGAACACTAAGCCCAGCACGAGGGAACATGGAAGAGTTCAGGGGGTTGGATTTTGTTGTTTCTCTGGTGGCGTCTGCAGCCTGCCTGCTCCCGGGCACAGGTATGGCTGTCCCTACCCGAACCGTGATTTCAGTCCCAGCACAGAGAAGTCCATTATTCACGACTTCGCAGAGCCTCACACCATTCTGAGGAATGAACATTCTGGAAACAGGGCTTCACACACCCTGGTTCCCTGACTGTTTCAGTGCCAGTGGCCTCTGCCTACTTGTCCTCCCTGGTCTTCTGCTTGGAAGGTTTGTGTGTCTGGCACCACACACCTAGGGAAGGAGCTGGGATACATCCCAAGCATGATAATGACAGCAGTGTGTCACACTTCCCTGGTTTGTGCCAATTCCAAAGTCTTTTCACAGTCAATATTGCTGTTATCCCCAATTCACAGATTCATAGGCTGAGGCTCATGGAGGAGAAAGGATTCACTCTGGGCCCTACAGGGTGGTGGTTATCTCTGCCCAGAGCTGTATGGAGGCTATAGCTCAGTAAGGCGCCAGACCCCAAGGGGAGGGCGAGGCTGACACTGGAGAGCTTCTCATGCAAACACCTCCTGCAACTCGTCAGCCATGTGGGCCCGGGAGGCACACACCCGGCTCAGAGGAGGACGTGACTTGGCCAAGTTTGGGGGGGTTAAATGAGGTACTCCACAGAGCAGGATGTTCTGGGCCCAGGGCCTGTCACATTCTGGGTGACCAGGAAATAGTATCTCCTATGCCAAATAGTGATTCTGGTGGTTAAAAATTAGGCACAATTAGAAAGGTTTCAAAACATGCTCTTTTTTTCACGTCTACGACCTTCTTCCAATATATTTCAAAGACGGCTTCAAAATTCAAAATCTGGGCATTGTTTTGCCATTTCTGGTCACTGCCTCTGACACTGCCTTCACACACAAAGACCGCCCTCCAAGGGAGCAGAGGCTATGGAACACTGGGTGTCCTTTGCACCATAAGGGGCTGCAAGGACACCCAGCAGCTGGCAGTGGGGAAGAGAAGCGGTCAGAACAGGGCAGAGGGGGAGCGGGGAGCTGAGGCCTGGGCTCAGGGTCCTCCTCTTCTCCCCCTGCCCCCCCACATCAGAGCACACAGTGGTTCCATCAGAGAGCCCGCCGCCCCAGCTCTGCCATCCACACATCCACATCCAGCACATTCTTTCCCAGCCATTTCCAGAGGCCTCAGGGTGAAGATCAAAATGGGAGAGCGGCTGTAATTTCACGCCTATAACATCCCACCATGTGGTGGGGAAAGACATTTGGGAGCCCTGTGGGTGACACCAAGGGTGTGTGCTGCACATAGTCATTAAAATGTTTTTATCCGAGCTGCAGATAAATTGTAAGCCAATTTGAAAGTTGCGTACTGGGCCCCGGGAACGCATTATACACAGTCATGGAAGGATTTGCAAAGTTCTTCTTGGGGTGCAGGTTGTGGGGGGAGGAAGCATGTTAAGGGTGTGCTGTTACAATCAATTAAATGTTGTGAGTGGCAGACGCCCCACCCCTGCCCCCCACAGAAGCTGAAAGACTCTGCCCTTCTGGTTCCTTTAGAATGACAAGGAACAGGTTTCTCGGCTAGCAGGTGGGGCCCTTTCAACCCACAGCTAATAATCAAGGCCACCTTCTGTGTGCTGGCACTGGACTCAGGGCTCAACTCATGCTCCATCTTTCCCAAGAGCCCTTGGAGGTTGTCCCCACTTTACAGATTAGAGAACAGAGTCTCTCAGAGTTGAAGGCAGCAGACTCTTTCTTTGTGGCACCTGAAACCAGTTCCATGGGACATAATTTTTCTGCAGACCAGAGCAGCAGGATAGGAGTGGTTTGGGGATGACTCAAGCAATTGTATCTACTGTGCATTTTATTTCTATTATTATTTCATTGTGATATACAGTAAGTTGATCCCTCAAGGGACTGTAACAAACTGGTCAACAAACAGAGGTGGTCAATAGAAGGAACTAGGCCTGTGGTACTGATGCTATGTGTGGTACACGTCCAGTTGAAATTAGGTCAACTTAAGGAGGTGGTTGACTATGGACGTTCTACTATATGATGTAATCTCAGCATCTCTGGGAGGCAGAGGCAGCAGGATGCCCACAGCCCGAATCTGAGGCTGCAGTGAGCTATGACACCACTGCACTCTGCTCAGGGCATAGGGCGGGACTCTGTCTCAATAACAACAATGAAAAGAAATACTTACACAACTCACCATAATGCAGAATCAGTGGGAGTCCTGTTTTCCTCCAACTGTCGCTGCTGATCTGATAGGAGGTGAAGCTCAGGCCGTGATGGGAATGATGGGGAGCGGCTGTAAATACAGATGAAGATTAGCTCAGTCCCCTGCCGCTCACCTCCTGCTGGGCATCTTGGTTCCTAATAGGCCATAGACTTGTACTAGTCCACAGGCCAGGGTTTGGGGACTGCAGGTTTAAGGGACTCTCCCCTGTGAGAGACACAGTGAGGGTCCCACTGGGTCTGCTCCAGTCCAGGGTGGGTGCTCCTAACAGCAACCCTGACTCCCAAGGGAAATATCCCTACCTTTGATACAAAGGCCATGAGTAATGCAAATGTCAGTCAAACACTTGGGTGGAGGCAGAATGGAGAGAGCAGGGACCTTGACCTTGGTGCTCAGAAACTCCAAGGGTCAGCAGGATTGCTTGCCCCATGGTGGCCTACAGGTGTCTGGGAGGAAGAGAGACCATCCATACCCTTGTTTCTCCATTCCTGCACCCCCCCTCTGTGTTTGATTCTCTGATACCACTATCCAGGGCCTTCTCACTACTCAAAACCTCTGAAAGGAGCCCTGAACTTGGAGTCCAGCAGACCTGGCCCAAATCCCCATGTCCTCTTTGACAGGGACAATCTAATATTGAATTTCCTGTCAAACAAACAGAATAGCAGAATTGTTTCTGTTCAAATCTATTATAAAGTGACTTGGATGTTCACATTATGGGCATTCTACTTTCCCTTCATTCA